ACGTCTGCATTCAGATTCAGGTGATAGTGTGGCAGTTCCAAAGATTGCTTCCCAGTTTTCCCTTTTTTTTTGTATGGGAAAAGTCCCATCTCTCACATATTTTAGAAAGGAACATTTAGAGAATCCTATCTATTATGCCAGGTTCAGTAGGGCTTTCTAGGTCTATGAGGTTATTGTTGTAAAAAGAGGGGGAGAACTTCTTGGCTTGTTTTAGGGACAAAATGAAGAAAGCAAAGGACAATAAACACTTATAGTATCATTCTAATCATCTAGCGTATGCCAGGAAAATGACCTCAGGTGATCTTTTCAAATGAGGAATCAAACCTTGATAATGGTGCTCATGGCATCTTCCTGCCCCTTCCCTCCTGTGCCCTTTGGGATTCTTTATGGGAAATGCTATCTCAGATTCCAAAGCAGAGGGAGGAATAAGCTTCCAACATACAAAGATCCTAATAAGGACTTTTTTGTTAATATTGTTATGTACATGTATATATATATATACATATNTATCTCAGATTCCAAAGCAGAGGGAGGAATAAGCTTCCAACATACAAAGATCCTAATAAGGGCTTTTTTGTTAATATTGTTATGTACATGTATATATATATATATATATATACATATATATATAATAGCAAATAATATTGATTCATTTACATTCCCTAAAGGAGGGATAGCATTTATAGCTATGAAAAAGGAAGCAAAGCCATTTCCTTATATGCATAAAATAAAAGGCATGGAACTCAAGAGAACAGACATTATGGACAACATGGTAGCAGTTTTATTATTGTAGCGAGGGACTGTCCAACAGAGACTTATTTTTTTATCTTACCCCAAATAAAGATGTTTGGAGGACACAATGGAGGGTCTTCCTTCCCACCTTGGAGCATGTTAGTCATTTAGTTTTTCAACAAGCACTTATTAAGCCCATACTATATGCCAGGTATTGTGTTAAGTTATGGGGATTCAAAGAAAGGCAAAAACACACTCCTGCTCACAATCAAATAAGAATCTAAATCCAAGATAGATAAAGAGAAAAGAAGAGTTAGTCTCAGAAGACACTGGCTGTAGGGAAATGGAGAGCAGGGGAGAGGAGGAAAGGCCTTCTGAAGAAGATTTTGGCATTGTCAAAGAAAGCCAGGTCAGACTTAGGGGGCAAAGACAAGAAAGGAGCATATTCTAGGCCTGGGGACAAAGTCTGTGAAAAGGGTATGGAGTTAGGAGATGGAGTGCCATATATGAGGAACAACAAGGCCAGGGTTGCTGGATTATAGACTACATAGAAGTGGGCTGACTGGAAAAGTAGAAAGGCACTGGACTATTTAAGTCATTAAAAACCAAACAGAGGATTTTATATTTGATACTAGAGACACAAGGCAGCTTCTGGAGTTTATTGAGTAGGAGAATGACATGGTTGAACTGGGATTTAGAAAGATCAGTTTGGTAGCTGAGAGGAAGATAAACTGGAATGGAGAAAGACTTGAAGCAGAGATACCAACCATCAGGCTATTGAATCATACAGATGTGAGGTGATGAAGCCTTACACCAGGCTGGTGGTTGCATATGTGGAAAGTAGAACATATGTATGAGTTGTTATGAAGGTAAAATCAACAAGCCTCGACAACAAATTAGATACGGGGGTTAGTGAGAGTAAGGAGTCAAGGATGACACCTACATTGTAATCTTGGGTGACTGGCAGAATGGTGGTGTCCTCAATAGCAATAATGAAGTTTAGAAGAGATCAGGATTTAGTGGGAAAGATAAGTTCAGTTTTAGCCAAATGAGTTTAAGATGTCTGTGGGACATCAGGTTGAAAGAGCCATTGCTAATCATTTGGTGATGGAAGACCAGAGATGACTGTTTCCTCTCCACTTAATGTATGGAGAAGAGAGGCCTTTTTCATTGGTTGCTGAGCTAGAACTGAGTATGATGAAAAAGGAACTAATCAACCAAACTGACCTCTCTCTCCTAGTGCTAAAGGTGACTATAAGTCTCTGAGTAAGGGGAGAGGCTGTGCCAGTGGCCAATTCTCCCCACCTGGACCCACACAAGGCTGGGAATACATGGCACCTTTAGTTTTTGCTAGATGTGGAGGCAATATTTCTTTCTGCTGTTAATATCTTCCTTGTTGGTTTATCTGCTTATGTTTAAGGTCTTTGAGTTTTCTTTCTCTTGAGATCTTTGGTAATTTCAGTCTTTTCCCCCTTATTGCACATTTTCTAGCACCCTCTCCTCCAGTTTCCCTTGGGGATGGATTTCAAAGTGTCTCAGCCTCCTTCCACATTGGGCAATTCCCATTTCACCATCCTAGGTTTCTGCAGTAAGTGACTTGGGGAGGGGGACCAAAAGAACTGGCCCTGCCTCTTCCCTTAGGCTTATTCAAATACTGCACAGTTCCATGTGGGGCTCATCCACTCTCTTCCTCAGTTCTCTGGTCCATGGCTCAGAGTGCTACCCTGCCACTATCAGAACCCGATCAAATATCTGCTCTCTAGAATGAGGATCTGTGGGTACTGGGAGTCGGTGGCATTTGGGGTGTGGAGTTGGCTTCTGCAGACTGGATGGGCAGTGTGGGAGAGCAGACTGAACGAATGTTCTTTAGAGGTGAAGGAATATTGGCCTTCTCTGCTATTAGTTCATTGAGTTTTAACTTTGGGTTCTTTGTGTTCTAGCTCATGCAGAGAGCTGAAATTATTTCATCTCTCGTGAATAATTCCTAATTTGGACAAATTTGAAAAGTCATAAGGATTGAAGAAAATAGCTAGTCCTCCATCCTGTTAGTCATGTGACGTAGAACATGCTTCCTTGGTATCCTTTACTAAGCCCCAGCTAAATCTTACCTTCTACATTAAGCCTTCCTTGATCCCTCTTACTTTTTAGTACTTTCCCTCAGTGAATTAACTATAATTTCCCATAGTTCACATGTACAGGAAGAGCAATGTATTTCTGATTGTAAGCCCTTTGAAAACAAGAGTTTTCTCTCATGTTTATTTTCATCTTTCTAAAGCTCAAGTCTGACCATGTCATACAACCCTCCCCACTCCTCCATTCAGTAAACTGCAGTGACTCCCTATCTCCTCTAGGATCAAATATAAAATCCTCTTCTTGACCTTTAAAGCCCTTCATAACCTGGTCCCTTCCTCCATTTTCTGCTGTAAAATGTGTGACTTGTCCTTTCCCAGAATAGTTAATCATTCTCTTCACCACTGAGTAGAGTCTTATGCAAATACTAGGCTTGAGTCCTGAGTTACACCAATCTTCTTACCCACTGGGTGTTGCATGAAGGAAAAACAGGGCAGTCAACTAGCAGTCGGGGAATTTGAACATGGTGTGCATGTGTGTGTAATGGAAGAAAGCTGCTTCCTCATAGGACCATAAATGTAGAACTACAAAGGACCTTAGAGGCCACTGAGGCCACTGTCTTACTTTGTACATTCGAACCTAAAGGAAATTCCAAAGTTTCTATAGAAATCAGGTTTAATACAAAGGTGAAGGAGGAGGAAATTGTGACATTCTATTGAAAGAATCTAGTGGTACAGAGGAAGACATATCACTAGAGTAGAAAGTTGTAACATTGGATATTTGTTTTTTCATTCAGTTAGAAAAATTCATAAACATCTAGTATGTGCAAGACTACCTTAGACCCTGGGAATTCAAAGGTGGGGAAAAATGCTGATCTTTGCCCTCAGAGTTTCCATCCTAATCCTTTGGCACTGAAGAAGGCTACCAAGTCAGCATAGGGTCTGGACTAGCTTATCCATCTTCCAACCTCCTTTCACAATCCTGGTCCTAAAGGACTTGTTAAATTGGTTCATTTACCCAGGAGCTCAAAGTGACATTTAACTGCCCTACTGGCTACTTAGTCATGAATACGGTGTTCTGATCTCAACCTACAACTTCTACTGACAGAAACTTGGGAAAATCTGGAGTAGTTTTTGCTCTACTCTCAAGGATGAATTTTGAAAGAGGAGGAGGAAGGGGGAAAAGAGGCAAAAAGAGGAGGGAAGAAGCGGAGGAAGGAAGAAGACAAAGAAGAAGATGGGGGGAAGAGAGAAAGGAGAAAGAGAGGACCAGGGCTTTGGAAAGCCCACCCCTTCACATCTTCAAAACTCCAAGAACTGTAGGTGTGGCCCCAGTGACAACTGCTAATGCCCATAGGGGCAGCCCTAGAAGAGCAGTTGGCTGCTTTACTAGAGATGGATGGGACAGGAGGTACCTCCTTCATTAAGCCCTTAATGAAGCCCAGTTCAACATTCCGTTTCAGGTCTACCTCTAGGTCCCAACCTCCTCTGCTTTCAGAGGCCACAGTAAGAAGAGAACTATTTCCCAACTCTCACCCTTGCCTGGCCTGCTGCCCCTGGGGTGTGACTCTCTGGGTTTATCCATTGATTGGGCACACATCTTTCACCTTCTCCCCTACTCAGCTGCTCAGCCTCTATCTCCACTGCTCAGAGGCACTTAAGCTCAAGTCCTGGGGTGACAGCTCAACTGTAAATGAAGGTATAATAATCTATAGCAAACAGCACTGATTTCTTGACATTCCTCAGAGTGAGGGAGGAGGGCACTTGTACAGTTCCTTATAATCATAATGAAAAGAGAATTAAAGAGAGCCCACATGGGAGAGCATGGCGGCAGCAAACATCTTGTTGGTTGTGCTTTAACCCACCATATGTCCCTTTCCTTCTCTTTTTTTCTTGTCTTCTTTTCCAGTTTGTGTTTCATGATATTTGTCTTCAAATAGTTAAAAGGTTGTAATGTGAAAGACGATTAAACAAGATGAGCTCATTTACAGGGAGCAGACTAGATGGCATTTGTGGGGAAAGTTCCTAGCTCCTGCTAAGGAAAGACCTCTGAACAAAGAGGCCTGACCAAAAATGGAATGGGATACCTTACTTATAAAGGGAGTGAATTCTCCATCCTTGGGGGGCTTTGAGCTGAGACTGAATGACCACTTACTTGACATAGATATTGTTAAAGAAAAAAAGACACATCCTTTGGGCTCAGGTTTGACAAATGCTTTCTGAGATACCTTTAATCATACAATTGTATAATTCCATTCTTATTTCAGCAAGCTGGGTCTCTTGTGCACTGTCCCAAGGAAAAATATTTGTCATTTAAATGATACTGTAGCTGTGGGTGAGTGAGACGTGAAGCTCTTGTCTTCACAATATAATACAGTTATCATGTGAGTTAAGGTTATGATATTGGGCCTCCAAATTCTGGATCCGGCATTGTTGTTCAGCAATCTCCCTCCTTTGCTGTTCCTGGAGAAATCGTGCTTGTTCCTGAAGAGAAAGGGGAACAAAAAGGCAATCAACAGTCTAAGTATAGGTGTAATCAGAGGGGCATCTGTCTTAGGTTTAGCAATACAATTTAATGCAAACAAGCACTACTACTAGGTTCTAGGTGGTAGGATACAAAGACAAAAACTGTAAAAGTCCCTGCCTTCGGGGAGGTCACATTCTACTGGGTTTCTTAGTGATTGGTAGGTAGCCTTAAGTTCTAGCTGCTTAAAAACTTTATTCATTGAATGTATGAACATACAGGATAGTTTGCTAAGGTCTGTGGAGGATACCAAGAAACATCAAATGCCATCCTTGCCTTTGGGGAGTTTATAATCTAGTTAGGGAAACAACATGAACACGTATAAAGAAAACTAACAATATAAGACAATATATCTAATTATTCAAGGAGTGGTATAGAGAGGCATACTGGAAGTTCAGAAAAATAGAATGCTCTGAATTTTCCCTTCCCTTCCCTCCTTCCTTCCCTTCCTCCCTCTTGAGGTCTTTCCTCCCACCTTCCTTCCTCTCTTCCTTCCTCTCTCCCTCCCTCCTCTCTTTTCTTCCTCTTTTCATCCCTCCTTTTATCCCTTCTTCCCTTCCTTTCTTCCCTCCCTCCTTTTGTCCCTTCCCTACCCTTCCCTCTTGCTTTTCTCCCTACTTTCCTGCCTTTCTCCCTTTCTTCCTTTCTTCCCTCCTTTCCTCCCTCCTTCCTGAATTCCTCTTCCCCTCCCCTTTCTCTTTCCCTCATTTCCACTCTTCCTTCTCTTCTTCCTTGCTTTCCTGCTTCCCTACTTACTTCCCTTCATCTTTCCTTTTCCCCTTATCTTCAGAGGCTGACACAGTGACTATACAGAGTAGGTGCTTTATAAATGTTTGCAAAATGGATTAACAAAAAAAGATAGGAGATGCTATCCTGGGCTATATTAGTCTTCCTTCAGGGCCAAACATTTTCACTATTCAAGGGTTGTAACTGCTTAGTCTCCATTTACTTAAGTCATTAAGGGCAATGGGGAAGAGGCTAGATGTTGAGCTGGGATAATGCAATACCTGTAGTCTCCTAGCCTGTTCTCTCTCTTGCTCTGCCAACATCTGCCTCCTCTGGGCTTCCATATTGGCAGCCATTTGCCTTTGTTGCTCTTGCTGTCGCTTTTCATTTTCCAGCATTATCTGCTCCTGCCTTCTTCGCTGTATTTCCAACTCTCTTGCAGCATCTGCTGCAGCTTGTGCTTTCCTCTGTTGCTCTGAGAAGGAAAAAGAATTATAAAAATTGAACTAGAGGTAGATAGGGCATCTGGGTGGTGTAGTGGATAGAGAGCCAGGTCTGGAGTCAGGAAGATTTGAGTTCAAATCTGGCTTCAGACACTTACTAGCTGTGTGACCATGGGCAAGTTGCTTAACTCTATTTGCCTCAGTTTCCTCATCTGTAGAATGAGTTGGAGAAGGAAATGGAAAACCGCTCCAATATGTTTGCCACGAAAACCCCAAATGGGGTCACAAAGAGTGGGCCATGATTAAAACAACTGAACAAAAACAACAACTCGAGGTAGTAAGCTGCTCACTCCCCAGCCTTCCACCCCTGTTTACTATTGGTTTTACTTCATAAAATAAACTTATTGGACCTCTTCACTAGATTAACTAGTACTTGTTTAGAGAGAGAGAAATATTTAGGAAGCACAAAAAGGAGTCTTTGTTAAATTCAAATGCTCTCAAGGACATCCAGTCATCTTAAATAACATTTCTGAAGGCAGAGGGCACAATTCTCAGCACTACTCAGGTTAGAGCCTCTTTCGTGTATTTCTCACCTTTCATCTCTTCTTCTTTTGCAGTGAGCATTTTGTCTGCCTGGTTAATTGCATCAGCTACAGTTTCCTTTGACTTCAAGTATTCTTCCAAAGTCTTGTCTGCCTGGAGGATAGGAAGACAATGAATTCGAAACAGGAAATAGTGATGTGAGTGAGGGTGAAGCCAAGGCTTGTTCATTCATCCGAGCAGAGCTTACCTGTGTGTCACTGCAACTGACAGTACTATTAACGATTCACCTTGAGGCTTGGAAAAGACCCTTAAAGTTTCCTGGCTTCTCTTAATCTTCAACCCTGAACCTGTGCCCAAAGGGAAGGTTTACCTGTATCCCCTTCTTGGGGTGCTGGTGGTACTTATTTATGAGCTCTTGCTTCTTCTGAAGAAACATGCCATAGCCCCCTGGTTTGGAGAAGGTGTTCTGCTTCACTGCTTCCTCCAGAGGACTGAAAAGATCCTGAAGCAAAGCAGTGCACCGGTCTAGGGACTCTCTTTCATTATGTTTATGGAAGTCATCTAGCTTGGCTTCTAGCTGAATCTTTAGAGTGATTAAATAAAGAAAAAAGGAGAAAGACGTAAGGGGTGCAAAAGAAGCATATAATTTCAAAATTCAAAAGGACCTCAATAGTCATCTAATCTACCCCATGTTCCATGCTGCCAAAGCGATTGTCCAACCTTTTCTTGAAGGGTTCTAATAAAGGAGAACCCGTGACCTTTCACTTTTAAGTAATTTTAATTGTTAGGATGTTTTCCTTCAGTAGATTGCCCTTAAGAAAATGTTAGGAGTGTGGTATATGATTGTGATGGAATACTACTATGCCATGAGAAGTGATGAGCTCAGTGATCTTAGAAAAACATGGAAAGACTTGCACAAAATAATCAAGAGAGAAATCAGCAGAACCAAGAGAACATTGTATACCGTAACAGTAACAATATAGTAAATATTGTTTTAAGAATAACTTTGAATGAATAAGTCAATTTGAGTATTATAAATACAGAAATTAAAAATAAAGGACATATGAAGAAAGATTCTATCTGCAACCAGAGAAAGAATTTATAAATAGAAGTATGTGTAGAATAATTTTACATATCTATACCTATTTGTGTCTAATGGTAGCTATCTCTAGGACAGGAGAGGGGAGGGAAGAAAAAAAAGGAAAAATAAAAAAGTTACATGATAATTTTATTATATATTTAAAAGGAATAGCAAGTTTTATATAAGAGATATGCAGTTTCATGTGCAATCATCTTTTCTTTTTTTATACTATGGTATGGAAATGTTTGTTTTATTCCATAAATTGAAAATAAGATAAAAAAATTAGGCACTTCTCCTTCCAATACATTCTCACAGAACCAAAACCTGTTGTCTCTGTGCACTTTTAGAGGCAGTCAAAGAGAACCAAATTTGTCCTCTGATCCATTAGCCTGAGATCAACTCCTATTCCGTCCTTCAATATATGAAGAGTACAAGTGTCTTGATAAGAAGTTTCCAGAAATCCCTTCCCACTACTGTCTTTGCATAGGACTGTGGTATATAACCCACATTGCAGACCAAAAGCCTCTTTTAACTTCTCAAGACTTTTAATATATGTATTAGATGTTCATATTACATTAAATCTACAGAGCACATAAGAGTCATGGGTCTTTCAGTTACTGATAATACTGAAAATGGAGTATCAGAGTCACAATACTGAGGTCTGAGGCTTTCAAATTTAGTAAGAGCTGTAGTTCACAGGCAAAGTCCTAAAATAGCAAAGGTACCTCCAGTGTTGTTTGGAATTCCTGGTTCACATCCTTGAAAGAGTCCTTGATGAAGGATTTAGTGGCTTCACTCTTACAGATGACGTGTGCGTCCAACAGTTCTTGAAGGGTTTCTGTGGGGAAGTGGACCTTCTGTCTCATCATCTCTTCATACAATGTTAGGGACCTTTGAACTGCAGCCGAGTTCTCTAGCTGAGCCAGTGCCAAGACTGCATTCTCCACACAGGGAATATCTCCACTAGTGATGGCCTCAACATAGTTCAGGACCAGTTTTCCTAGACCTATAGAGGGAAGACAAATGGAACAATCAGGAGAATGGTCAGAACTATCCTGTTTAGGAATGAGGCTGTTTCTTTATTCTTTGCCAGGGTGGGGAGTGGGAGTTTCATTTTGTGTCTCAGAAAGTGAGCTTTCTGATAGAATCAGGAAGCATCAAGAATGCTTATGAAACAGGAAATAAGAAAGATGTTTTTGGTAACCAAAGCTTTCACAAATGTGGTACATATGACTGGCCTGGTGCAAGAAGACAGTCATTGCCTTTGTCCATAGTTACCCTATGAAGACTCTTGTCTGCCTCACTCTAGTGTTCCATACAAGTGCCATAAGGAAGTCAAGGGAAGTGCTGGTGAGAAGAACACTCACGGGGCCCATTGATCGTGCCACCTCCTGGGAGAGTCTTGGCCTTAGCGTCATTGAAGATGTAATCACAAAAGTTTTTAGTATTTTCCACAAAGTCAACATCAAGTTCATCATCATGAAGTTCCTCAAGCTGTTTGAGCTTATTTGTGTGAGCAGGTGGGACAAAGATGAAGCATTTCCTGTTTAGAAAGAACTTCCGGATACATATTCTGGCTTCTTCACCGGTACCTAAGGAAAGGGAGGGAGGAAGAATATGGCATAGAGTGAAAGTTGACCTGGAGTTCAGTCCCCTCAAATTATGTCCTGTTCAGAACATTTGACTCACTCCTAACCCTGAGGTCTTTAGGCATGAGATTGATTAAAGAGAGAGAAAAGGAAAAGGACAAAGAACTTGTGCCAGGAATACAATTATTAGTTGAACCTAGTCATCTAGTCTCCTTCTAAACCTTGCACTATATTCCTCTGTTTTGAGGAGGCTAGGGACTATTACTATACATAGATAAACTAGATACAAATAAAAGTGGCTTCTGGGATTTCCCCCGTTGCCCAGCCCTTAATCCCTGGCACCTTTCTTCAGTTTCAGGGCATTCTCCAGGTACTGATTAGAGGTGACAGGCTGCCCATCAATTTCCAACTGCAAGGTGAAATCACGCACAGTCCACACAAAGTCTGGAAAAAGGCTCGCAAATTCCATGGAATCATTCATCTGCTCAGTGCTGGGGGAAGATTTTGTCTTGATTTTATCTGTCAGTTCTGTCACATAGCTGGGGTGTTAATGAAGGACAAGTGGCAGAAAAAGAGTCCAGCAGGCATCATCCCTTAAGTCTCCCAATTCCCTAATGTCTTTTATTTCTCCTTCCCTTGAATCAGCTTATTGGCATCTTTAACAGGAACATAAGNNGTGTGTGTGTGTGTGTGTGTGTGTGTGTGTGTGTGTGTGGATGACCAGATCCTTGTTTTCATCAGTATAGGGAACTCCCAGTGAGGAATTTTCCCTTAGAAATACAGATTGATATTTGCTGATTATTTATATATACAGCTTTGGAGTTGTCTCAGAGCACTGAGACATTAAGTGTTCTGCCCTGTCAGAAGTAAAATTATAACCTAGGTCTTTCTGACTGCAATGGGGGCTCTTTATCCACTCCAGGGGTGGGGAACCTGTGACCTCAAGGCCACATGTGGCACTCTAGGTCCTCAAGTGTGGCCCCTAGACTGAATCCAAATTTCACAGAACAAATCTCCTTAATGAAAGGATTTGTTCTGTAAAACTTGGACTTGGTCAAAAAGCTGCACCCAGGGACCTAGAAGACCACACATGGCCTCAAGGTCTCAGGTTCAACATCCCTGATATAGTCCTTTGAAATTTGCAGTGATTTCTTAATGTCATTTCATTTTGTGCAGAAAGGATACTGCAGCTGGTCCATGGCCTGCTGGTTGATGGTGCCCATGCTGTTATAGACAAAGGTGCTGCTCAGTAGCACTGCCAGGGCAAAGATCCACGTGTCATTCTTATTGTCACCCTAGAAGTTAGATCACATTATCTGGACTGAATGCATGATGTTTTACCATTTCTGTGAGATGCCCTAAATTACCATGATTATGCAGTAGGGGAAAACTAACTCACTTGGTCATTGTTAACTTGAGATCTAGAACAACAGTGTTTAGTAACATTTGATTGAGCATGGTGGCATCCACCTCTTCTTACCTTCTCCACATCACCCAGCCCCTCAGTGTCCAGAAGAATGAGGGTGTGATTTGGTTTCTTGGGATGAGGAACACACCACATCCAGATGCCCTTGGTGTGAGACTGCACTGTGGAACCAAGGGAGAAACCTGTACAAGAGTGTAGAGAGATGAGTCCAGATAGTAGCAAAGTGGGAGTTCTGACATTTGGGCATGTGGAGGACATTCCAATCAGAGTTGTAGTGGAAAGAGTGCTGGATGTAGATTGAGTGTAAAGAGCTTTAAATGACCCACAGAGGGATGTGTATTTGAACCTAGAAGCAATAAGGCACCACTAACTCTGAGAAGGGAACATTAAAGTCACCTATAATTATTGTTATTATCTATATCTTTTTTTCTAATTCAGTTAATATTTAAAAATGAAATGGATGCTATTCCATATGGTGCATAAATAGGTAGTGTAGTATTGCTTCATTGCCTATTCTTTAATCATAATGTCATTTCCTTATATCTCTCTCGGTAATGTGAATTTGTGTTTTTGTTTTGTTTTATACCTTCATTCAGCCTCTACGTTTATGGAATCACTCTGATGCACAGTAATTTTTGTTCCTTTCTCTTATTTCATTCTAGATGAATATGTATTTTTGGTTATGTTTCTTGTATCGTTGGGTTCTGGTTTCTTATCCACTCTGTCACTTTATTTCATGTTGTTGGATTATGTATCCTTTCCACATTTGGCATCTGTCTTTCTCCTTTTATTTATTTTATATCTTGTCTCTTTAAATCAGTGTTTTGTACATGAGGGTGTTTTTTTAAGTTTAGACTACTTTTACGCTAGTGTCTCTGTGAGTTAGAGTAAATCCTTATGTGGAACATATATTGTCCAATCTCCATTGTATCTATTACCAGTGAATTTTTCTTATTCATTCCTATCCTTGGTTCTAAGAAAATCATGTTCTGGTATTTCCTTAATAATGACTAAAACAGCAGTATCTCTCATTAATTAATGAATTAGTTTTGTACTCCACCTCAGTTTATATATTGCTTATTTAACTAACTGGAGAAGCTTCTTTCCCTATAAGCTTAGATTCACTTCTCTCTTGATAGGAATCATTCTTCTCTCCAACCCCCCAATCTCACAACTCCTTGGCTGAAACATTGAGGATATTGACTTTACCATATATTATCACTGTAACCAACAAGGAAACAAAGTCATGAATGAATATTTGTAACATATCACCTGAGAGAAAGTCATAGCCAAAGTCACTTTCAACAACTGATTACTATGAACTTCTCAATTTTAGAAACCTAGAAACACCATTCAGTTCTTTCAGGATATGCTTTAAGATAGTTTCTCAAGAATTCTTTTCATATCGCTTTGTGAGATATATGTTATGTTCAATTATCTGTACAGATAACTTATTTTAGTTTCTTTCTCTTTCCTCTAGTCAGCTGTCACAGTTACTATTCTCTCCAGAATGAATGTTAAACTCCTATCTTCTCACAGACATCACATAGAATGGCAGAGATATTGTAACATTAGCTGTAGTTTCTGAGAGAGAGGCTATTGAATTTGATGTTACACCGGTGTATTCCCATTGTTTTCCCCACACACATTTTCTCATGCCATTCACATTCAACTGACCCATTCTAAATTGTTTGAAATTATTTATATTGTTAATTTCTCTGTTCATTTTTTTATTTGCTCATTTCTCTCTCACTTTCAAACCTTCTCTCTCTCTGCCCAGTTAAGAGTTTGGTTCAAAAATCTCCCTTTCAAACTCTCATTTTAAGTAATAAAATGGGAACAAAAGTAGCCAAAAGAATTTAGATCATCTTATCATTACTGTTAAGTAATACGTAAAAATAAACATCTCTAGTTTTCTTTATTAAGATGATGTCTTCTTAAACATCACCATAATTAATTAACTGTTTTCTTTGATCAATGCTTTTTTAAATCTTCTCCCTTTTGTTGCTACTCCCTTTTTTTTAAAAAAAAATGTCCTTTCCTTTGTCTTCCTCATTACTTCTTTTCCCTTCAATCCTATTTATTTTTAATTCCCTGATTTGTGGATGCTGCCTTTATTTTATTTTTTGTGCTCTCCATGTCCCTTATGAAAGGAAACCTGTGTGGTATAATATTTGAATTCCCTTCTCTGTCCTGTTTCTTCGTTATTGTATTCGGAAGGAATCAGGAGCACCAAGGAAGTAACCTTGCCTATAAAGATCCATTTATTCTTATCCCTAAGACCCTAATCTGATCCAAATGGACAATATTCTGTATCTGTATACAGAGTGATGTGTCGTAGCCTTGCCTATTGGACTTACCAGTTTTCTGCCTTGCCAGCTTGTTCATCAGGTAGGATTTTCCAGTGCGATAGAGTCCCACGATCGCCACCACCACCACAGGCTGGGTAATTGTAGTAAGGACCTTCAGTGCTTCCTGGTTCACCCTGAATTGCCCATTACTGTTTTCAATTAGGCAGACTGGGGCTGGCATCAAAAGGCCACTGTCCATGTTGGAGGTGGAGTGTTACCTGCAAATGCAAAGGCTGCTCAAGTCGGACATGGAAACACTAGTCATTTCTAAATCCTGAGCTAGGAAACAGCATTCTTAGGGCCATAATCCTTCTACCACTTGGGACCCTCCCCATAGCCTATGTTTCCAGGCAGAACCAGAGGTCTTCTTGTCTCTTTCCCTATTAATCACCTTGCAATTAGGTCTTGATTAATGCGAATAATGAACCCAAGGAAGTGATCACATATATTTGAATTCCAATATTCAAAGTTGAAATATGGCTATTAATTCTAGACCAATGGATATTTGTAGTATGAATCCTAATAACACAACCATGTCAAGGAATTAATTATTTGCATTAATTGGGACCTAAATATAATTGCTTGTGAGTATCCAGCCTCTATCTCTACAAATGCAATTTATAATAAGAAATAGTAACAGCTACCTCTTCCCATGTTTTTTTTGTGGCTCTGAAAACATTTCAGATTGCAAAAATGTAAAGAGGACTTTTGACATATTTATAAGATCATAGGTTTAGAGTTGGAAGTGACCTTGGAGATCATCTAATCTAGTTTACAGGAACCTGGAACACAGAGAGTTTAAGTTACTTGCCCAAAGTCACACAGTCAATAAATAACAGGGATTGGTTTCAAACCCAGGTCCTTTGACTCCAACTCTAGAGCCTCTTCTGCCCAGGATCTTAGATTTAGAACTGGGAAGGACCCCAGCTTTGCTGGGGAGATACCTCAGGGTAGTTTTTCTGTGTGTGACCAAGCCAGGAAGCTCATAGAAGTCTTAGTACCCGGGAACTGTACCTAGGCAGTGCATACTGGCTGAAGCAACTCTTCTCTGTTTTGGTCAGTGTGGTTTTTCCTTCAGTTTCCTTCAAAGTGTTCTTTCTTCATTCTCCTCCTAGCTGCCTGACTGCTCCTCCTCAGTCACCTTTGTTAAATCATCATCCATGCCCTATGTCACAAGCATGGATGTCTTCCAGGGCTCTGTCCCGGGGCCTTCTTTCATTTTCTTTTTGTCCCCCATGCCTAAAATTCTCTCACTCCCATCTTCTTCCTCCTGACTTCTCTGGTTCCCTTCAAGTCCCAGTTAAAATTTCACTTTCTACAGGACACCTTTCTTGCAGTCTCCCTTAATGCTAGGGAAGTATCTTCCCTCTCTTGATTATCTCCAATTTATCCTGCATAGAGCTTCGTTGAACATAGTTATTTGTATGTTGTTTTCCTCATTAGATTGTGGGTTCCTGGAGGGCAGGGACTTTGTGTATTCCCAGCACTTACTACAGTGTTTGGCACAGAGTAGGTGCTTAATCAATGCTTGCTGATTGACTGATTAAGAGAGTGTGGCTCCCTTGTGGGATTTAAAATTTATCCTGTCTGTATTGATTTCTACATACCTGTATGTATATTGTCTCTCCCATTAGATTATGAACTCTTGGAGGGTTGAGACTTTTTTGGGGGGGCGGGGGGGAACCTTTATTTATTTCCTAGTGCCTAGTACCTGGCACCAAGTAGGCCCTCAATAAAAGCTTGTTGACTTGACTTCTCCTACCAGGTCATACATTAAGAGTTTACCAATTAATCAATTAAACAAAAAGAAACAGAATGATCTCTAACTCTTTAAAAAAAATCAAATTAATACAGCTTCCAATTTGTCTAGGTGCCTGTGGCCCCTCACACATTTAGACAGCTCTTAACTAGTCTTTATTCACTCTCCATACTCAGGAGTTCTATCNGTCTAGGTGCCTGTGGCCCCTCACACATTTAGACAGCTCTTAACTAGTCTTTATTCACTCTACTCAGGAGTTCTATTAGTAGTACAGTTCAGGTGCTAAGATCCAGACCTTGCTCAGCTACTCCCACTAGGAGTTAGCAAACATCTCTGGCTATTTTTCCCTCATAATCTTCCAGAGAGGGAAATATCTGGTCAGGGGGAAAGTTTGGGTACAACACACTGATTTGTCCTCTGGCTACTGATTGCTCAAACCCTGGCCCAGAGTTGGAGTGAGATGCCCTCTCACAGAAACCACTTTTTCCCTCTGTGCTTTCTGATTGTTTACTTCTCTGTGGGAGCAAGTTCATGGAATAGAAAGACACAACTATTTGGAGCTGTGCCTGTTGTGCCTCTCTTGCTTTTTCATTCATAGCAATTTCTACCTTGATTAAATATTTCTTATTTCAATGCTGTGCTTGCCTGGGTTCATTAGTATTTTAAGTACTTGAAGTCCTGGGCTTGAGTTACTTTCACAAGTTTCCAGTTTTCAGACTGAGTAGAAAATAAATAAGCCAACATAGGTAAATTGCCGTTAAAAGAGCCCATAATTTGAAACCAAGATGGAGAATTCCGAGGTGACAGTCCCATAGTGTCTTCTTCTAATAAATGGGAAAACTGGGTGCATGGAATGAGATTCTGAGAGGATTTGACAGTGTCAGTGAGCTGTAGATTCCTACTCAGGTTTTTTCCTCTGTCTTTTCTTCTCCTCAATCAAACCTTAAAATTTTCAACATGCAATTTGGACAATTTTAGGAATTTCCATCACAGACAATATTAAGATAGTTCAACTTCCCAAAAACATTCTATGCAAAACAAATACCTCTCCCCCTGACCCCAGTACTTAGAATGGTGCTCCACATGGAGTGGACAGAGCAAATGCTGTGCAGTGACACTTGATCAGACCAATATTTAGACTTTGCTGATCTCTGAGTAACTGAGAACCAACCATGTCCTATTTTAGGGGAAATGACAAGCCCACCCACCACCCCCTCAAACTCTAAGCAAAGATTAGGAACAGAAAGCACACATGCTTTACAATTTCTGAGGGGGCCGTTTGAAAAAGAAAATACAGAAAGATTCTCACCACGTCTTCACTTCACAGTCTCTGTGTCTTCTGTGTTTCGTAGGTTTTCTGACTCCTTTGCTTTTGATTGTTTGTTTTTTCTCTTAATTCCCTGACTCTGACTCTTCTTGGTCAGTTTGTTAACCTAAAGCTCTCTGATCACTGAACTGAGGGCTTCTAGTTTTTAAAGGAATGTTGAGCAGCCAAAAAAAAAAATCTGGAAATGAAGTAGAAGAAAGGGAAACTGAAAATAGTAGCCAGCACTTTGTGTGAGTGGCTGAATGAGGAGGCAAAAAGAGGAACTGCCTAATAAGGATTCTGAGGAGCATTGGGTAGGGATTTTTTTAGGTGATGTCAGCTTGCACTGGTTTCCACTGGTGGAGGAGAGGATTTGGATTATCTAAAACAGAAGATCATCTAAAATGTATTTATGTCTGTCCTTGCAAGGTTGATTATAATTATTTGGATATGTGTATTGTTTATGTTGGAAATCAACTTACAAAACAGAGATGAGATGAGTGAAGTTGTCTGATTCATATCTGGTGATCCTTTGCCCTCTTCACTCTTTTTATTTCTCCCATTTGGGAGTCCATAGCATCCCACTGACCAATGCAAGCTAGGGTATGATCTGAGTTGCCTTCCTTCAGCTCTGCAATACTGAGACGTTTTGGTTTCAAAGCTATCATTGGATGATAGATTCAGAGAGGGCAGACACCTTGGGGATCATAAGATGGTAGATTTAGAGCTGTCACGGACCTTAGGGATCTTCTAGTCCAACACCTTTTTGCATGTGGGGATACTGTTTCTCCAAAGGGTTGTGTGACTTGCCCAAGGTCACATATATAGTATGGAGCGGAGATTGGATTTATACTCAGACTCTTTTTCTATTGTTCTTTTGAATGATTACTTATTGAGACACAAGTAGAGAAGGCAGGTTGTCAGTAAAAGAGGTATTACAGGCAGTAGATCCTGTCATTGCATATACAGCTAGCTTTGTTTTCTGGTGATCCCTGTGGTAATAGATTATGTTGCCAAAAGGAATCCAAAAAGTATTGTTAAGGATTACAAAGGCTTGCACAAGAAATTAAAAACCTTAGAGCCATCTGTAGTGTTTCTTCAATTCTTCTAAGTGAAATCAGGGAGAGATATAATAATGATAAGAATAAGAAATATCTATGTAACACTTTAAGCATTGCAAATTACTTTACAAATATTATCTCATTTTTATCCTCACAATAATCTCGAGTGATAGATGCTCCTAGGCGATGAACACCAGGTTGAGAAGATGGTGGATGTGAATAGGCTGTTTATTTCTGGACCACTATTTAAAAGAAATGTAGCAACTATGAAACTTCTAACCTAATGAAGGCATAGAAGAGCAAGGCAGGTTTGGGAAATGAACAATTGGTTAAGAAGATGGCTGAAAATGATATTCTGATTTCTAGACAAGAGCTTAAATGGAAAGAGCAACGAAATGCAGGCACCATGCTGAGTTGGGGGGATACAAAGAAAGGCAAAAATCAGTGCTTGGGTCTTTGGGGTTTTTTTTGCCACAATGCATATGACTTCAAAGAGCATATACATTAGAATGGGGAAGGGAATGACATATAAATAGCTAGTTACAAAGGCTACATATGTATTTATTACATGGTATATATTTGTATGCATATATATATATATGAATAATATAGACATAGAGAGAAGATGGTAGGTACTCTCAGAAGGGAAGCAACAAGGAACTAGGGGGTTTGGAAAAGGTCTCTTGTAAAAGGTGGGACGAGCTGAGTCTTAAAGGCAACTAGAGAAACTGAGGTGGAGGTAAAGGGACAAATAGTGAATTTATTTTTATTTTTAAAATTAATGCTATATTTAGCTTTATGCAAAAATATCCTTTACACAAATAATTTTGAATAGTGATATATGAATACTTAATATAAATGGCTGGGTTGAGGAACCAGGAATGTTTAGCTTGGAGAAGAGAAGGCTTAGGGAGACACATGGGAGCTGACCTCAAGTCACTGAAGGGATTTTATGCAGAAGAGGGATTGGCCTTGCTCTGTTTGGTTTCAGAGGAGAGAATCAAGAGCAATGGTGGTAAGGTGAATGGAAGGGGAGTTGGGTGTGGAGTTAGGAAATGTCTCCTGTCCATGAGTGCTGGATCCACATGGGATGAGCTTCCTGGGATCTTTTCCTAGGGGCTTGGAGTTGAGGCTGAATGACTGTCAGTCAAGTACGGTTTACAGTAGAGCCTCCTCTTGTGGTGAGATCAGACAAGAGGGCTGCTAAGGTTCCTTCCAATTCTAAAAATTCTGTGATTCCGTAATTTTAGTAAATTTACTCATAATTAAAAAAATTGGATTTTGAATTTTATAAATTAAGCACAATAGGGGAAACTGCCTCCCATGCCACCCTCTTCTTCTTTTTCTCTTTGGGCCTGCATAATGCAAACCGTTATCTTTCTTTAGCATAGATTTGTTTTTTTACTCACAATAGCTGCCATTTTTTTAGAGGCAGCTGGGTGGCATAGTGGATGCAACATTGGATTTGGAATCAAGAAAATCTGACTTCAAATTGTGACCCAGATACTTACTAGCTGTGTGACCATGGGCAAGTCACTTAACTTCTATCCATCTCAGTGTCCTCAATTGTAAAATGGTAATAATAACAGTACCTATCATACAGGGTTGTTGCAAAGATTAAATGAGATAATGCATGTAAAGTACTTTGCAAACCTTAAAGCTCTCTATAAATGACAGCTATCATTATCATTATCATTATTATATTGAAAGAGTACTTGGGGTAGAGAAAGAGGAATGAGATTGGGTATAATTCATTGATTTGTAAATCCTGGAAAGTTAAATGACTTAACTTTTAAAAATCTAGACGTGAGATTAGATCAAATGCAAACTGAATACCTGTAAAGATTGTTTTTATAAATTTCTGCCTGGTATGTTCCTGGCATGATGTGCAACTGAAATGTTCCAATGTTCCTAGCTCTGATGATTGCACATTAGTAGAAAAAAAAGATCCTTATTGTATTAGCTGCAAATTTCATACATAAAATCACAAAATATAGGAGATATATATATAGATAGATAGATATATCTTACACATAATATATTTGTTGTCTGCATGTTGTCTTCTTTGTTAGACCATGAGCTCTTTGGGGGCAAGGATTTATTCGATCTTTACCTTTTTTATTTAGCGTAGTGTCTGACAGAGAGTAGGCACTTAATAAATGTTTATTGCCTGAATGACCTTAGAGACATCCCCTTATTACCCAGATTAGCAAAAAGAGGAAATATGTTTTGCCTGTGACTATTTCCTTTGCAATGTTATCCTTCCTCTTAATTCCCACCCCCATTCCCACTTATTTCCATATTTAATTTGTTATATTTCTAGATCAAGCTCTTCCCTCTGCTCCAGTTTCTTTATAGAGATGGTGTCCTATGGGTATGGAATGCTGCAAATAAAGGCAAATGTTTTCAAGATGGTAAGTTTTATTGAATTGGTGTTTTTGCTTTCTTTTTTTCTTTATGATAAGTGATAAATTAGCACTTGGAATAGTAACCGTTTAAAATGTCAGTGTTCCTCCTCACTCCAGGACCACCACCCAGAACTGCAACCCAGATCCAAGCATGGCCGAGAGTTCCAGAAGCAGCCACCACCCTGGGGCTGTGCCAGGACCGGGGCTGGGACCAAGCTCCTCTCTCACCAAGGTCCGACAAAACTTTCCTACTGACCTTCTAAGTTGTCTTTGGCATTTGTGGGTTGAGAAGTCTGGAAACTGACACAGCTCCTCTTGATTCAATCTCCTGAGGAGTGTCCCAGATTTGCTGAGGCCCGGCCTTTGCCTGGGCAGACCATGCTGAACTATGTTCCTCTCCTAGCCCAGCGCAATAGACCTTTCCAATCAACCATCCAGGTTGTCTTGGGCTGGAAGTTTGTTTCACTCTGTCTTTTTGTGGGTTCTGCTACTCTAGAATTTGTTTAGAGACATTTTGCAGGTATTTGGAGGGGTTTGAGGGAGACCTCAAGCAAGTCACTGCTTTCACTCTGCCATCTTGGCTCCACCCCCTCATCATTTCTTACAGCACAGTAGGATTCCATCACAATCATATACCACAATTTGTTTATCCACTCCCCAACTGACAGGCATCACCTCAATTTCCAGTTCTTTGCTACCACAAAGAGAACTGCTATAAATATTTTAGAATATGTAAGTTTTTTTTTTCCCTTTTTCCCTGGTCACCTTGGGAGAAAAGACTTAATAGTGGTATTCTTGGGTCAAAGAGTATACACAATTTTATAACTCTCTAGGCATAATTCTAGATTGCTCTCCATAATACAGTTCCATCAACAATGTATTAGTGTCCCAATTTTTGCACATCCCTTACAATATTTGTCATTTTCCCCTTCTGTCATTTTCGCCAATGATAGCTAAAGGTGTGTGCCTTTAGCACATGATAGGGGCTAAGTAGGTTGGTATGAGATATCTCAACATTGTTTAATTTTCATTTCTCTAATCAATAATGATTTAGAGCATGTTTTCATATGACTGTATATAGTTTTGATTTCTTTATTGAAAGACGGCCTGTTAAGATGGCGGAGGGAAAGCAGTGACTGTCTTGAGCTCTCTCCCAAAGCCCTCCAAATACCTAAAAAAATGGCTCTAAACAAATTCTAAAGCAGCAGAACCTACAAAAAGACAGAGTGAAACAAATTTCCAACCAAAGACAGCCTGGATGGTTGATTGGAAAGGTATATCACACCGGGCGGGGAGAGGATTGCAGTTCGGTGTGGGCGCGCAGGCTGCAGCAACCCTGGAGCAGGCCTCAGAGGACTGAATTGCGGGCGCTGTGGTGATTTCCAGACTTCTCAACCCCGAACACCAAAGACAACTTAGAAGGTCAGTGGGTCCCACTGTGGTGAGAGAGAAGCTAGGTCTCAGCTGCAAGTCTTGAGCGTGACCCGGGGCTGCAGCTTTTTCCTGAGCTCTAGCCCACAGACTGAGGGGGAATCGAGTGGCAGATCAGAGGGGGATTGCAGGGATCTCTTTGCCAGTGCTGAGGCAGGAATCTCTTGGTTTACCAGTGCTTGGATCTGGGTCACAGTTCTGAGGGGCGGTCCTGGGGCGAGGAGAAACACTGGTGTGGTGGAGCTTGTTGTGGCAGTGGAGAGAAAACACCTTGCCCCTTACCTTATCATACCACCTTGG